GGTCATGATGGGAATGGCGGCCATGGTGGGGAGGTCATGGTCAGGAGGCCATGGTGGGGTGGCCATGTTGGACAGGGCGGCCATGATGGGGAGGCCATGTTGGGAATGGTGGCCATGATGGGGAGGGCATGATGGGGAGGCCATGTTGGGAATGGTGGCCATGATGGGGAGGGCATGATGGGGAGGCCATGTTGGGAATGGTGGCCATGTTGGACAGGGAGAGGCCATGATGGGGACGCCATGTTGTGGCAGACATGTTGCACAGCAAGGTGGCCATGTTGGGTGGGATGGGGAGGTCATGTTGGGTGGGGCAGTGGCCATGCTGGACGGGAAGGTGGCCATGTTGGGCCACTCCCATTTTAAAAATAAACCCAAAAATCTGGCTAAAACTGCCAAAATTCTATCTAAAACGCCCAAAACCCTGTGTAAAACACTCTAAATCCTGTGTAAAACCCCAAAAACCCTGACTAAAACCAATATCCCGGCTAAAATCCCCAAAATCCCCCGTAAAACCCCCAAAATCCTGCAAAATTCTGCTAGAACCCCCAAAATTCTGTGTAAAACCCCTCAACATCCAGCCTAAAACCAAAATCCCCTGTAAAACCCCCAAAATCCTGCAAAATTCTGGTTAAAAGCCCCAAAATTCTGTGTAAAACACCTGAAATATTGGCTAAAGAGCCCAAAATGCCAGGCTGGTGCATCTTGGACAGCATGGCGGCCATATTGGACACCATGGCGGCCATATTGGATGGTGTGGCAGCCATATTGGATAGGCCCTGCCGCCATCTTGAACACAACCCGTGTAACAAAAAACCCCCAAAATCCCACCCAAAACCCTCAAAATTCCGTATAAAACCCCCCAAAATCTCGGCCCCGCCCCAAAAAAAGCCCCGCCCACCTTCTTGCTCTGCTGCTCCTTGGTGGACTGCTGACTCAGCAGGCTCTCGATCTCCAGGTCCNGCCCCCCGAGGGGCGTGGCCTCGCGAGCGCTCCCCGCCCCCCGAGCTGCCCCGCGGCCCCGCCCCCGACGCCAGCGCCGACCGCCTCTTCCCGCCACAGGTGAGAAATTCCATTTTCTGGTTTAAAAAATTAATTTTTGGGTGTGTTTTGTTGGTTTTTGTGTTTTTCTGGGGTTTTTTTGGGGTGATTTCCTCGTTTCGAGCGTTTTCTGAGGTGATTTCAGCATTTCCCGCCTTTTTGGAGGTGATTCCGCCATTTTGTGATGCGATTTTTCAGTTTTTGAGGCGATTTTGCTGTTTTTACCCCAATTTTCCCGTTTTTTTATCCCAATTTGTGGTTTTTACCTGATTTTCCTGTTTCTTACCCTGATTTTCCCGTTTTTTACCCCAATTTTCCTGTTTTTTACCTGATTTTCCTGTTTTACCCAATTTTCCCATTTTTTACCCGATTTTGATGGGGGTTTTTTTGGTTTTTGGGTGGTTTTTGTGTTATTTTGGGTTTTTTTGGGTGATTTCCTCGTTTCGAGCGTTTTCTGAGGTGATTTCAGCGTTTCCCGCCTTTTTGGAGGTGGATTCCGCCATTTTCTGAGGCGATTTTTCAGTTTTTTGAGGCGCTTTTGCTGATTTTTTATTTGATTTTGCTGTTTTACCCCAATTTTCCCGTTTTTACCCAATTTTCCCGTTTTTTACCCCAATTTAGTGGATTTGCTGTGACATTCGCTACCTGGACGTGTCGATCCTGGGTAAATTCGCTGTGGTGATGGCGGATCCGCCCTGGGACATCCACATGGAGTTGCCCTACGGGACCCTGACGGACGACGAAATGCGGCGCCTCAACATTCCCGTTTTGCAGGACGAGGGGTTCCTGTTCCTATGGGTCACTGGAAGGTCGGGATTGACCCCAATTCATCGGAATTTACCCCAAATTCATCGTCACCCTGGAACCCCCCCAAATCCGCCCCAAACCCATTGGGATTTACCCCAAAATTATCGGGATTGACCCCAAATCCATCGGGATTTACCCCAAATTTATTGGGATTTACCCCAAATCCACCCCAAATTTATTGGGATTGACCCCAAATTCATCGGGATTTACCCCAAATCCACCCCAAATTCATCAGGATTTACCCCAAATTCATTGGGATTGACCCCAAGTTCACCGGGATTGACCCCAAATCCATTGGGATTTTCCCCAAATTCTTTGGGATTTACCCCAAATGTGCCCCAAATTCATTGGGATTCACCCCAAATTTATTGGGATTTACCCCAGATTTATTGGGATTGACCCCAAATTTATCGGGATTCACCCCAAATCCACCCCAAATCCATTGGGATTTACCCCAAATCCGCCCCAATGCGGCGCCTCAACATCCCCGTTTTGCAGGATGAGGGGTTCCTGTTCCTATGGGTCACTGGAAGGTCGGGATTGACCCCAAATCCACCCCAAATCCACCCCAAGTCCATCAGGATTTACCCCAAATTCATCGTGACCTCAGAAACCCCCGGGATCCGCCCCAAATCCATCGG